GGCAAACAAATAAAGAGGAGGATCATGGTCCAAGCCAGCATGAACGATGAGACCCGATCTGAAAAATTACCCAAGCAAAAAGGGCTGCCCTGAGTTCAAACCCAGTACCACTCCCAAAAAACGACAATAAATAAATTACCCTCCTTCTTTCTAGTCACAGGGAGCTAAGTTAAACTGCACTGATGAAAGGTCTGGAGTCAGCAGCTGGACAAAGCATCTTCCTGAGGAGGCAGGAGCTGACAGTGGCTCTGAAGGATCCAGTGACAGCTCTGGACCCTCTCCCATCCTCTACCCTATTCCAATTGGTCCCCCTTGAGCAGAAAATATGAATCTGACCCTTGTTAGCTCTTACCTGGACTAGGGCCCACTTCCACCTAGCCTCCCTGCCTCCAGGTGACACCACAAACTGCTGCCAGATCTATGTTCCCAAGGCACAGCCCACCCATCCCTTGTTCCCCTCCAAAAGCTCCAATAACTCCTGCTGATTATGATGACATCGTAGAATCAAGTCCAAACTCTGAGGCCTTGAGTTCCAGGCATTCCACCATTTGGCTTCAACTTCCCTCCCTGGTTTGGCTCCCACCAGTCCTCCCATAAGCACCCCCACCTCCAACCAAACAGAGCATACTAGTCTCCATGAGAAGAAGAGCCTCCATCCTCTGTCCTGTGCTCTCACCATCTTTCCTGGTTCAAATTCAAACTGTCCCTTCAGGACAAGTTGGTAAAAGGAAAGGATATAAAACCTTGCATTCAGTGCAACGCCATTTTTGTTAAAATGTACCCAAATGTGTTTGTTTATGCAAAGAAATAAAGCTACATGAGATAAGCTGGGGGTGCCAGGCCAGTACTGACTACTAGGCAAGAGCTGAATGCTGGTCCCTCATGTGCCTAGTGGGTGCAAGGGTCAAAGCTACCTGCACAGGGATGGCTCACCTGGCCAAAGGTAGCTCGGGCCTTCTCAAACCCTCCAACCTGCAACCGCTTCTTGAAGAGGTCCAGGGGATATGTAACAGTCTTGCTGATGACTCCAGCTCCACAGCCACAAAGAAGGCTTTTGAGGTTCCCTGAACCAGAGAAGTGAGATTGAGGAGAAGGAGGAGAGAAATGCAACTGATGGTGGACAACTTAAAGGTTGTCAAGTCTAGCTGGAGTAGTAAACACCTGCCTAGCAAGCATGAGGCCCTAAGTTCAAACCTCGGTACCACCAAAAAAACAAAACAAAAAGGACCCAGGTCTAAGCCTCCACCACAAAGCTGAACCCCCAAGCATCCTAGGATCTCAAAGGGGAATTTAATCTAGGAACCAGAACCAGACACAGCCACTATCACAAGAATGGTCACAGGCTGCAGACTGGCCAGGCCCACAGCAGGGTGGGAGCCTCACACAGCAATCCCTACTGGAGACCGTAAGAGCCTGGGAGGTCAGTGACTGCACCAGGTTCCAGGCTGAAGAGGAACGCCCCACCTCTCCCACCAAACAACAGAAGCACAAACAGAAAAATAAGCAATTTGCAAGTTGGACGTCTAACAAAAACTGAAAACCAGAACCAATCACTGGGAATGTTTTTGTCACATACCAGCAAAGATGCATGTGGCAAGAACTGGAAGTCAAGTCACCTCTAAGCTGCTTGGTTTACTTATTTTGTTGGCCACACTGTAGAGCCAGGTACAGAGAATGTCTTCAGTTCTGACAGAAGAACTATTTCTTTGTGGTTCAAAAAGAGACCTATGGCCAGATGCCTGTAATCGTAGCTACTTGGGAGGCAGAAATCAGGAGGATCACAGTTCCAAGGCCAGTCCAGGCAAATAGTTTTTGAAACCTATCTTGAAAATACCCTACACAAAAAAGGGATTGTGGAGTTGCTCAAGTGGTAGAGTACCTGTCTAAAAGAGTGAAGCCCTGAGTTCAAGCTCCAATGCCACAAAAAAAAAAAAAGAGAGAGAGACTAGACTAATGGCTTGTTTTGGGGTAGGGTGTCTCACCAGTCTGCTTTCTGTTGGCTGGCATGACCCACTCGTAGGCTTGCTTCAAGGAGCGGTAACAAGAGAACTGCAGCCCAGCGTAGGGGAAGATGGCAATCAAAGTCGGGGTCAAGCCTTTGTAGAAGACCAAGGGGCCCTCAGTCTTGTACATAGTCACCACAGCGTCTCGCAGGGTCTTGTAGACCTGGACACACACGTGCAGCTTGAGTGAGCTCGGCAAGGTAGTTTTAGCCAAGAAATGCCCATTACATCTCCTTCCCCTCGTCTAAAAACCCAGCTGCGAGGAAAAGGACTTCTGCTGGGCAGGAAAATGCTGGGCAAAAATTCAAAGAGTGAGATTTCACAACAACTTTCCTTCTAGACATTTACACAACTGTTATGTCCACATGTGTGCACAAAAGTGTGTCCAGAGTCACTGCAGCATCCTGAAGAACAGCAGAAGATTCAGTGTCCATGTGAGGGGACAGGTCCATAAATGACAGGACAGATGTCCATGAGAACACAGTGCAGCTGTTAACAGGAGGCAGGGATCGGGTGGCTGCTGTGGAATGATCCCCCACAGCAGGTAAATGAACACAGCAGGGTACACCAGAGCGAGGTCAGTATTTGTAGGAAACAAACTGTATGCAGAGATTATGTCCCCCAAGGATACACAGAAACCAGGCAGTGATGAAAGATAGCTTCACCGAGGGGAAGAGCGGTGGGGAATGGAGGAAAAGGGAGATTTACTATGTATCATAGTGTGCTGTGTCGTTTTTGACATATACAACACGTTATCTCTGCAGGAATACCACGGGCCATCTGCCCTCTCAGTACCCTCTATAGAACACAGTTAATCAGCCATGGCCCGACCAATTTGCTCTGTCTCCACTGGTCTGGGGTAGGGCAAGGCACCTCAGTGAAAGTGGTGACTGAAGGATGATCTGCACTTCTTTCTGCTGCCTCCCAGAACACTGGCAGTCACATGGAAGGATTCCACTCAGGGCCTCTGTGAAAGTGCAAGGCCCTAAGGAAAGACCACCAGCCACTGCCCAGAGCTTCCATTTTAACAAAGTTACCTTCTCTACCAGGTGTGGTGGTGCACATATGTAATCCCAGCACTCTGGGCTACTTGGCAAGACCATGTAGCAAAACAAAACAAACAAAAATCAACATTACTTTTAGTTAACTTTTTTTTGCGAAAAGATTAAGGCAGAGGGTGCTTCATTATCGTGCCAATTGAAACTGCCCTATTTGGGAAATTTTGCTGTTATCCTGATAATCCTGATTTACTAGAAGGTCAGATAACAGCTTAGTTTCAAGTTAGTGACTTGGATCTTCAGCATGAGTGACTCCATTGTGACTTTTAGCATAGTTCTCTTTATGTGTTTCTTGGTTGTGGCTCAAAGCAGGAGCTTAGTCAAAAACAATGGCCTCCTATAATTTTTATCTAGCAGAGGTACTATGCTATTCTTTCCTTTCCTTAATACTGTCTCCAGTTTTTAATTCTCATGCATTTTCACTAAAGGTTGGGAAGTAACAGGAAAGCTGGATTGTCACCAGTCATCTTTCCTTCAGCCCAGGGGCCACCTCACTACTGGGGTTGGCTTGTCCTCTATATAAACACCTTCCCCTCCTTTTCTCTGCTTAGTCCCTGAGGCCCCTCATCCCATTTCTCCACCAGGGCAGTTACCCAAAACCTCCAATTTTCTACTGAACTATCTTATACAAAGCAATTTAGCTCTTATGCCCCAATCTCTGTCTGCCAGACTGTTTCCAAGGAACTTTGCTCTTTTCAACCAAATGTCTTCAGAATCTCTCTGTAACAAAAGAGCCTCCTCCACCCTGAGCAACACAAACAGGCAGAACCAAACCATGGTGATTCCAGTGATCCCAGAACACACACACACACACACACACACACACACACACACACACACACGCACGCACAATGCTAGTCTTTCTTTCTTTTTGAGACACGGGTCTCACTATGTAGTGCAGGCTGGTCTGGAACTCCTAATCTTCTGGCCTCAGCCTCCTGAGTGCTGAGATTTAGGGCTAGGGGTATGGCTCAAGCAGTAGAGTGCCTTCCTAGCCAAGCACAAAGCTCTGAGTTCAAACCCCAGTACGGCCCAAAAAAAAAAAAAAAACCCTGAGTGCTGAGATTAAAGACGTGCACCACAATGTTGGGCTGATACTGTTCTTAAATATGTCCACGATCATGGTGGAGGTGGACTTCAGGGTTTAATCCCTTGCTCTCAGTAAGTCCTGCCTTGAATCTGACTCAGCTACCCCATTTCCTCCAACCCATTCTCTGAAAATCAAGGACACCCTCACAACACTACAGCCTGAAGTGGTCCAGCCTCACTTCATCCGGTCCACTGCTGGGTACTTGTTCGGTCTACTTCCCACTCATAGGTTTTGTCTCACCAGGGAGTCTGTGTGTTCCTTGGGGGCAAAGGCACAGAGCACTCTGCAAGGTGCTGACCAGTTACAGGTCTGACAATCACCCACTTTGCTTCCTCCAAGAACAAGAACCTGCACTCCTGCTCCACCTACCTTATCAGGGCTTACCTTGGGTTCACCCTGAGCAGCAAAGCGGGTTCGCAGAACATCCACAGGGTGCACGGTGAGGGTGGCTGCGCAGGCAGACAGGCCTCCGCATATGAAGTGCACAGAGAATCCACGGGCATCGTACACACTGGCTCTGTGCACCAGCTCCGTCAGCTGTTCAAAAGACAAAAACTGCAAGAGCAAGTGAAAAAAGTCACGAAGGACTCAAAGGAAAAGTGCTAAGACCAAATACTCCCCAACACACCACCCTCAACCAGGTGGGGCCAGGCCTAGGGAAGAGGAAAGCTAAGGAAATCCTCTCCTCGAACCCTGACAGAAACAAGAAACACATGAAATTCTATGTAGGATGCAGATGCCTCGATGGGGGTGTGTCTCAACTGGTACAGCGTCAGCCCTGAGGTCAAACCCCAGTGTTACCAGACACCTGGTGGCTCATACCTATAACCCTAGCTACTCAGAAGACAGAGATCAGGAGGATCTCCATGAAAAGAGACCCCATAAATAGTTCTCGAGACCCGATCTCGAGAAAACCCATCACAAAAAAGGAGCTGACAGAGTGGCTCAAGGTGAGGCCCTTAGTTTAAAACCCAGTACCTCAAAAAATTTAAAAAAAGAAAGACATTCCAAAAAGCAGATGCCTCATGAAGAAAGAAGAAAAAAAAGGAAACAACTCAGATGGTTTTTTAGAGCTAAATACCCAATAAAGAACATGGAGGGAGTTAGTGTGTGGCTCAGTGGTAGACCACTTGCCTAGAATACACAAGGTCTTAGGTTGAATCCCCAGCACCAGAAAAATAAATACATAAACAAATAAAAAGTATATGGAGAAAATTTTTTGTTGCTTTGCTTTTTGAGAGAGGGTTTCGCTTTGTAACTCAGACTGGCCTTGAACTACAGCTCCTATCTCAGCTCCGGTACAGGTGTGCGCCACCATGTCTAACGTGGAGAAAAGTTTATAGCAGAAAACTCCACTCATTCACTTAATTTTCTAAGAACTGAAGACAGACAACCCTCATCTGATTTGTGGCAGGGCACTCTGGAGCACAGCTGACAGTGCCACTGTTTGAGAATCACCCTCCTCTGGAGTGGATTCTGCCAGAAGCATGTGCCATGGGAAATCGCCTCACACCCATCCTTCCTAGCCACCACCACAAGGTTTGGCTCCCTGAGACTACCGCGTTGTGCATTTAACCACCACACTGCAATATCTGCTGAGTACCAAATGAGGACGTGGAACAGCAGGGGCATGTCTACCCAGGGAGCACCTGACTTGAACACTCTCTGTGCTGTTGTCAGAAGAGCAGGCAGGGATAACTCTGGACTAGCTGCAAGCGGAAGATCCTGCCTCTGACAAATCTTTCTGATTTACTTATTTTGCCATGCTGGGATCAAACCCAGGGCCTCGTGCACAAGCATGCTAAGCTCGTGCTGTCTCAAGTTACATCCCTGACCCTCTGCCTGTTTCTCACCAATGACTTTGGTTGGGTTGGTTACACATGCTCTCTCTGTCCCAGTCCTCTCTTCTGTAAAATCAGAGTGACAACAGAACTCACCTCCCAGAACTACAGCAAGATAAGGCAGGTAAAGTGCTTAACACATGGGGCAGGCTCAGCTTGCACTGTGCAAAGGCTCACTGTTACCACCAGTAGCATCATACAACCTCATCTGTCTGCCAAGAAATACACCGGCACTCAGCTGAAAGAATGAATGACCAGAAGTGAGAGGCCTGGGGTCTCAGGACCTCTCCTACCTTCCCTGCAATCCACACAACACTTGCTCTCTCTTCCTCTCGATGTTGTGAATTCAAATGAAGCACAAGTGTGAAGGTGCTACTTCAAACAACGAAAGGCCTTAGGTAGTGCCCTTTCCCAAGTCACATGGGAGCACAGTGTCAAGTTGGTCTCCTAGATATAACACGAGTCACCGAGACTGGACAGTGGGAATGCTGATGTCTTCATACAGGTCAGGCAGATTTCCCATTCAGGCAAGTGGGTAGCATGGGGGCCGTGTTCCTACTTGCTACCCTCCCTCTGCTTCTCCACTGTGCAATGCGACCCCAGAGGCCTGGCTGGGTCCCCTGCCACCTACTTGGACAGCTCCATAGCCTATGGAGAGAAGCTGGGCTGGAATGTGTCCTTTCCAGAATGCTGTTGGGCCCTCCTCCTGCAAAATCTGTTTGCCGGCCTGTAAGATCCCATGGTATTTTGCATTGGGGTCACTGCGACACAGGCGTTCAATCTGAAGCTAGGGATCAAAATTGAAAAGGTAAGGACCACGGCAGAGGGGTTGACTAAGAAGGGGTAATTTTAGCAACAGTAGTGAAGGCAACCAAGTGCTTCACCTTGACAAAATTCCAAGTTTTAAGAACCTGCTTTTGCAAGAAAGACTGAACTTGTCCTCCAGCCCATTACACAGAGAAAAGGGGGAAAGGGTACCTGGAAACGGATCTTGATGACATCCAATGGGCTGATCAGTGCCCGAGTAACAAATCCAGACAAAGACCCTGCCACCGCCACCTCCAACTTGGAGTTACTTCTGGCATCTGCTTTGGGGTCATAGCCGACCATCCCTGCCTCTGGTCCATTCAATGTCCATCAGTATCAAGCTAAATTCGAGAGACATGGAGAAAACATAAAGGCAAGTTCCCTAGGGTCACTGCTCAAACGTCCCATCCTCCCAGCAGTCCTCACTGCTCAGCCTACCTAAAATAGCACTGGCTTTCTCTATAGCCTTATTACTCTGGGACTTTGAAACTGTACATTTCTTTTTTGTCTTCCCCCAACTAGAATTCAAACCCAAGGAAACATGACCTCATTGGTTCGCCTGTACTTCCACACCAGAATACAGCCCATCACAGTAAGTGCTCAATAATATTTGGGGACTGAATGAAGTAACAGGCTTGATGGGAAATCTTTTGCTCACAGAGGTCAGTTGTGTTTCCGATGACTTCCGGCAACTTTATGGCAAAGCCCTGTCTGAGATAAAGTGTAAGTCCCCTCGAGCTGAACACTGAGAGGAGCTATCAGACATCAGGCACATGTGGCCAGAAAACAGGGCTTGGGATTCTCTAACAATCCCCCAGTAGCCAAAGAAGAGCACGGTGACCGCTGAGCCCTTGAACTTCTCCTGCATATTCTTTTTTTTCTCTTTAACCCTGGTGCTAGAGACGGAACCCAGGGCTTTGTGCCTACTAGCTGTGCCCATCCAGTCCCGCATCCCCTTCTTTGCATACACCTCAGGCCTTCCCTGGCAAAGCGAGGCAGTGTCTTGCTATGAAATGGTGCTCCCAGGTCCCCCCTGAGCCAGGCCCTGCTGACCTCCTCAGCCTCACTCTGGGCCATTCTTCCCCTTCCTCACTTCACTGGGTGGTCCTGGTGCTTCTGATCAGCTCCTACAAAATGCAGTGTGCACTCCTAACTACCAGCCTTGCCTCCGCACACAGTTCCCCTTCTCCACACAGCCCTACTTCCAAGCCCCTGGTCATTGTCCCAGAGCTCAGCCCCAGAGCATCCCTTCCTGGACATGTGGGTATTTCCTTCCTAGCATTCCCAGCACCTGCTAATGTCTAGTCTCTGTCCTCACAAGGGCAGCAACTCAGCAATCGACTTACAGCTCCATCTCCAGAGTCCAGCATGGTGCTTGGCACACAGCAAAAGCTTAGAACATCGCTAATGAACAAATGATCAAAAACCAAATATTTTTTGAGATAGGTCTTGCTATGTAGTTTGGGCTGGCTTGGAACTCTACAACTTCCTGCTTCAGCCTCCTGAGTACTGGTACCACCACACCCGTCTATGCTGAGTTTAAAATATATACCTTTATTTCAAAACCATCTAATTTCTTTCTTTTTTTTTTCCTAGAGCAGGGTTTCTCAGTCACAGCACCACTGACATTTAGAAGAAATACTTTGTTGTTTGGGGACTGTCCTGTGTATTACAGGATGTTTACAGTGTCTCTGGTTTCTACCATCACACTCTAATTGTGACAATCAAAAATACCTCTAGGGCAGGCATGGTGTCTTACCAAAGTAATCCCAGCTATGCTACAAGAAAGGCAAAGACATGAAGATCATGGTTCAAGGCCAGCCCAGGGAAAAGTCAGATAAAGACCCTAGCTCAAAAAACGAACTAAAAGCAAAAGGGCTAGTGGCATGGCTCAAGTTGAAGAGTGCCTGCCTAGTGGGCACAAGGTCCTGAGTTCAATCCCCAGTATTGCACAAAAAAATAAATGAAAATGAAAAACAAGCCTCCAGACACTGCCAAAATACTACTGATTGAGAACCACTGAGCTGAGAAAAATATGTAGGTGTGTAAAATGTCTATGTTACATCATCATAAACTAGATGTAACACAGATGCTCATCAAATAAAGACACGGATAAATACATTAAGTGACATTCATACAGGAAAACACTATGAGCCTGTGACGTACATAGGGAGGTCACTGCCTACACAAAAATGCCCACAATAGAGCAAACATAAAAAAAAAAAAAAAAAAAGCAGGTTTCAGAGCCAGGCAAGGTGGTGCATGCCTGTAATCCCAGCACCCAGGAGGATCTCAACTTTGGAGGCCAGGCTGGGATACATAGTGAGACCCTGACAAAAAAACAAAACAAAAGCAGATTTCAGAACACTATGCCTAGTAAAATCCCCTTTTTTTCTTTGCGGTACTGGGTTTTGAACTCACAGCCTACACCTTGAGCCACTCCACCAGCCCTTATTTGTAATGAGTTTTTTGAGATAGGGTCTCGAGAACTACTTGCCCGGGTTGGCTTTGAACCTCGATCCTCCTGATTTCTGCCTCCTGAGTAGCTACGATTAGTACTCAGTGAGCCACCAGCACCCAGTCAGAACCCCCATTTTGTAAAATAAAAACAGCAAGACCTACATATGCCCATATCACTACATAAAACACAGAAACAAAGCATGTAACAACACACATACACACTGACAGGATTGGTAAATTACCCGTGGGCAAAACAACAAGAAGGAAGGTAAATCTCCCTCTCTTCTATGTTGGTTTAATTTGCTGATTTAAAAACTAAACTAACAAGTACCACAAAATAATTAATTAAAACTCAGTATAAAATGATTTTAGAAGGTCCCTCAGAATTAACCTAGCTCCTGAATACTTGTAGCAACATACTAGAACCTCCTCCCAGGCAAATGTGAGAAGCAGTTTAAACATGCAGCAGGCAAGTGAGGAGCTAAAACTCTCCAAGGGGACACCCAGAGACAGCTCAGGTCACAATGAGCAGTGACAAGTTTCCTGCAGGAGGGAAGGAGGAGCAAACTGAATGGCAGGTATCCTGGCTCAGTTTCAAAAGAAGCAGTCAGGTCAGTCTCTTCCCTCTGGAAGCCCAGTGTACAAATGTACCATGCACATGCTAGGAGAAAGTGGCAGATAGGCCAGGATACGTGTAAATCTCTGTACATAAAAAGCTCCACACAGCTACACATAACCTTAGGCCTCAGGTCAAGAAGCCTGGGTTTAGCCAGGTGCCAGAGGCTCATGCCTATAATCCTAGCTACTCAGGAGAAAGAGATCGGGAGGATTAGGTTCAAAGCCAGCCTGGGCCAATAGTTCTCAAGACCCTATTTTGAAAAAACCCAACACAAAAAATGGGCTGGTGGAGTGGCTCACGACGTAGGCCCTGAGTTCAAGCCCCAGTACCACAAAAATTAAGTAAATAAATAAATAAAGACTGGGTTTAACTGGGCATGATGGTGCATGGCTATAATCCCAACAAGTAGGGAGACTGAAGCAGGAAGATCATGAGTCCGAGACCAGCCTAGGTACACAGTGAGACCCCGTCTTAAAAAACAAAACAAAACAAAACAAAACAAAACAAAACAAAAAACCCCCGAAGAAGTCTGAGTTCAAATTCTGCCTCTAGCGCACCTTGGGCTGGTTTATTTAACATGGACCATTTTCTGCAAAGTACAAATGTCTGCCCTGCTGGGTGCAGATTGCTGTGCACCAGAATGATAACGGATGTGATAAACTTTGTTAAAAAAAAAAAAAAGGCAAAAGTCATACACTTTTAAACATACTTTTTCTAGAAAAATTTAAAAATAAAAAAACATTAAAAATTTAAATTAATAAAAATTTAAAAATCGGCGGGCATGGTAGCTCATGTCTGTGATCCCAGCACTTGGGAACCTAAGGAAAGAGGATCAGAAGATGGAAGCCAGTCTGGGCTACTCAGCCGACTCTGACCCTGTCTTCAACCAACCAACACACTTTTTCTGTTTGTTAGAAACCTTGTACCCCTAAACCTTCGTCTTAATCTAAACAGACAAAACAAAATGAAGTATGATTATATGCATGATATACACAATCCCGCAACCAGACAGGGCGGCTGCAGACGTGAGTGGCAGGGTGCGTGGGGTGCGTGAGAGTTCGCTTTCACCCTGCTTTTTTTCTGTGTTGGATACCCACGTGCCCCGACAGCCCCGCGGCAGGTGTCGGAGTGCCCATGTGCACAGCTGAGGGGCTCTGCAGATGTCCCAGGTGGATATGTAAGTGTCCTGGTGTGCCTAAGAGTGTGGTTTTTTGCTCGAGTACGACAGCACGCCTGGGAAGCGGGCGCCCGCGTGTGCAGGTGCCTGGGGGGTGCGGCGTTTCACCTTTGCGTCCCTAAAGATACTTCTCGGGTCAGGTGTGGCCATGTGAGCGTTTAGTCTCCGCCCCCGCGTGAGTACCTGTCCACGTGTGCTCCCTGCGGTCCACCCGGGGAGCCCGTGCAGGTCCCCGAAAGGACCAAGAGTAGGACGAAGGTAGCGGTCACTCACCTAACTCCACAGGATACCAGCTCTCTGCTCTCTCTCGCTCTTCACGCAGTCTAACAGCAAAACTCAACTGCGCTTGCCAATAACTGACGGGCCTCTGGACCAATCACCGCGCAGCTTCCGACAGACACTGGACCAATGGTTGCACACTAGAAGTCTAGGCAGTGTCTCCTGCGGGGTCTACCTGGGTAATGTAGTCTTCCGCTACGAAGCCCCACCCCGCCTACTGCGAGGCGAAGAGCCTCCTGGGGGATGTAGTCTCGCTGCGCATGCGCACGCGCACTCCTGACGCGTCGGGAGGAGGCCAAGTCCGGAAGGCGGATTTCGACCTTAGAGGTTACGGCGCCTAACGGAGCGTGGCTAGAAGGTTGACCTGCAGGGTGCGCATGGGGAACTTGACCCGCTTTCCTCCGAACTCTCGACTCCCACAATCCGGATAATCGACATTCGGAAAGAGTGGCGGCAAACCTAGCAAAAACCTAGAGGATTGGAAGAGACACACAGTAGGTTCCTAAGATCAGAGTATTTGCAGGGGGTGGGGGGGGTGCCCCTAGAATTTATTACACTTAGGTTCTCGTTATTAAAAAATATTGAAAGTATATATGGACACAGAAAATGTAAAGATGAAGTAGAAAATGACTCCTCCTCCTGCTCTCGCACGGTAGCTTCAGCTCTTGGCAGGAGACTTCTCCCTCCTGGCATTTCTTCTTGTTTTTCCTTTTGCTTTTTTGAAACTGGGTCTCACTATGTAACCCAGACTGGCCTTGAACTCGCAATCCTGCTCGGATTAACAGCTATGCGCCACCACGCCCAACCCTCTTGACTTTTTCTCACTGATTTTTTTTACACTAATCACTTTGACTCACCTCTCTTTTTTTTGCATTTTTGAGGGTTTTTTTTTTTTGACATTTTTAAAAAACATTTATTATGGAAAATTTTCAGCACATGTAAAAGTAAGAAAACTAGCCTAATGTACCCCCATGTAGTCTCTACCCAACTTAAGGTCAAGCTTATTTCCTTTGTACCTCAACTACCTGGCCCAGCCCCAGCAT